GTAAGTTCAGCAAGAGACATACTGAGAAAATGTGTCTTTTAAAAGGCATACTTTTGCTGGGGATTTAGCGCAGTGGTTTCGCCGCCTGCTGCGCAAGCTCAAGGACCGGAGTTCGATCTCCGGTACCAAAAAAAAAAAAGGCATACTTTGGTTATGGACTAGAAAATAAATTGAGGAGTAAGAGCATGAATCCACTTAGGAATGTCTTACAGGGAGACCTCAAAGGAGCTGGTACAAGGGCAGTGGCACTGAGAGGGAGAAATGCAATTTTGTGAGCTGCTTTGAAGACTGGCGACTTCCTGGATGGATATGGGAGCACAGCAAGGAAGAAGAAGAGGCAGGCTTGCTGTGGAGCATCCGGTCAGATGGATGTACATTTCACTAAGGAGAGAATAAATCCTGGATCCTGGAGGAGGAATCGATTTGATGGAGAAGATACTATAGGACAGTAACCTGAGTCCCTCAAATAAAGGTGTTCAAGTCATCACATGACATACAAAAATCTAATAAAACTGGCATGAGTTAATGTTTAAAAACGTGCATTCCTGAACTAGCTGCATATTTCTTAATTATGTGTTTAAGTGAGGTAATGGTGACGGGCTGGGGAGTAGAGTGGATTGAACTGCATCCTCCACAAAAGAATGAAGTCCTAATCCCCCAATACCTAGAAGTTACCTTATTTGGATATGAGGTTGGTGCAGATGTAATTAAGTTAAGGTCACAGTGGAATTAAAGTTGAGCCTACATTTAATAACTGATGCCTTTATAGAGGGCAGGAGATTTGGAGACACAGAAGAGAAGGCCTTATGGAGACAGAGGCAGAGGCTGGTGTGATGCTGCTGCCACAAGCCCAAGGGGCTACCAGGACCTGGAAGAGGCAATGATAAATTCTTTCTTAGAGCCTTCTGAAAGTGTGTGATCCTGGAAACAACAGAACTTCTGACTTCATGAACTATGAGAAAATAAATTTCTGGTTTTTTAAGTAATTCAGTTTGTGGTATTTTGATACAGTGGCTGTAAGAAACTAAAACAAGGACAAAAAGTTTGCTCTCAGCTTCAGGCAAAATTGGGAGGGAGATTATAAGGCACCAAAAGAGAATAATAATAACGAGACAGCTGCTTTACACAAATTTGAACCTAATTAGGTCTTAGACTCTGTTTTTGCATTTCAAAACTAGGAACAATAGTACTTAACCCATAATGCTGTATATGTGGGTGTAGTTGACAATTAAATCACTATAATAAGTTAGGCACAGAGTGGATATTATAAGTTAGTGTTTATTCATCTATGAGTACAACTCATCAGTCTATTGTTTTCATAATGCAGTATTGCTATGGTTGCTAGGTCAAGTCTGACAGTCACCCACACCTTCACTACTCTGAAGGTAAAGCTGGATTACAGTCTGCTATCGTTCTAAAAGTGGTTCTCGGCTGGGAGCGATTTTGCCCCACAGGGACATTAGGCAATGCCTGGAGACATTTTTGGTTGTTACAACTGGGGAAAGGTACTACTAGCAAACACTGGGTAGAGCTCAGGGATGCTGCTGAAACCCTCTACAGAGTGCAGACAGCCACCCACAGCCGACCACCGTCAGACCCAACGCCAACGTCCTGAGGGTGAGAAATCTGCTCTAGTAGTACCCATGGAGCTCCTAGTTACAGCTCCAAATACCAAAAATTCACTTTCTCATTGAGAGTATGTGAACTAAACATGTGTTCGCATTGAAATTTGGTAAAAGCAGAGTGACTCACAAGCAGCTCAGAGCTAATGAAAACTTGAAACTTTCTTCTAATATTCTAAGAAAAGCAAAACTCTCTGACCTTGAAGAGACCCCTATAGCTGCTAACCAAGCCCAGCTCTGCACACACTAGAACATAAATGTTCTGGAGAGCTGAGAGGCCATATGCTGAGCAATTTATAAAGTGTACTCAGCTTTCCAAACCACCTGCCAGTCTGGACTGGAAGAGGGAGAGCAAGCTGACCTCTTAAGGAGACACTCCCAGTAGCTAGGAAACCTCCCTGAAGCTGAAAAGCACTGGAGACCCAACAGCTAAGCTCCTTGATTGGACTGTGGAATTACTATCAGGCAGTGGCTGTGTGTATGAGTTCTAAAGAGCTAGAACAGGTAAAGATCCCTTATCTGCACCTTCTACCCAAATTTAAATTATTGCCTTACTCTAAGCTGCTGTATCTGCTCTGCTGCTGCCTCTGGCATGCAAAGCATTTGCATTTGCCTCCTTGAAGCTATCATGTAAATATAGTTGTGCATACTGTACATTTTTTTTTTATTTGGTACCGGCAAATTGAACTTGGGGCCTTGCGTTTGTGGGGCAGGCGGCAGAACCACTGAGCTAAATCCCCGGCCCCATACCGTACATTTTTAATTCACTTTGTTTATCAAGTTTCTATGGTCTGCTGTTGTCTTTACCACATATTCAGATCATAAACATGTTAAGCCTCCCATGCTATTTTTCTTCATTAAGAGCACCCTGAAGTATGATGAACTAATTGATAAGGCAAGTTAATCTCAGCTGTGGTAAAAGTAAATTTAGGGACTCAGGTTACCTTCTCAGTTGGAGCTGTATTATCTTGCTCTTTCTGTTAATAAGAATATAAGTTAAAACATACCTGAGCAATAAATGTGGGATAGCTGGGAGAGAAATGTAAAATGGAATGGCAAAACCATCTGTGGAGAATAATATACACTGCTAGGTAAGATGGCAAATACCTTAGCTTTAACTTTCAGAAGTCTATATGTATTACCTTGTTCTGTGCAAGCTCAGGAATAAAAATTGTATATTCTTAACGTTTTCATCAAGCTGCCAAAGTCATCATAATCAAAACTACATTAATATTTAACTAGTTTGGTACTGTCAGTGTGTAATTTATTATTTAAGTCAAGAGATTAGTTAAAGCTTTTGGTTCATTTAGACAAAGCAAATATTTCAACAGCTGGAAGATGTTAAAATCAAGAGTTCCAGCATTTGAAGAGACTATATAATTACTTTCTCATAAAAACAAAACATCTTAAAGAAAACCAAGGGAAACCAACAAAACCTAAAATAAAAAATTGTAATATCTGTCCAATCTTTACTTATAAAATTATTAGCTACTAGAACTATTTAGAGTTCCTCAGGTAAGAAACAATTTCTCCTTGGAGATATGGAAATACTATTTTCCTAAGTATGAAAATAATTATTGGTATCTTTATATATTTTTCATAGCCACAATATGGCTTTTCAGAGACAACCATACAAAGTTTTCATTTTACCTAGACAGCTAAGTGACTGAACATCTCAATACGCTTTGATTACAAAGAAAAACTCAACCTGTTTCAATTTAATTTGAATTCTCAAGCTACAAAGTAACTTAGAAGTAGCACTGACAGAAATTTTTCATGATAAAGGACATTTACTTTGTGTTTTCTCAGGGGTCTGTTTCTACATTCCATCCAGTTGGCCTAAAATGTACCCTGTGAATTACCCCTACTACATCACATGCCATCAAGTCAGCCTTCCATTATTTCCTTCATCTAAGAAAAAACACACCACAGATTTATGTTGTTACTCTAAATCCATATTCTAGAAACGATGAAATACTTAGGCAGGATCATCAGAAAAATATTTTACAACCGTGTGTGTTGGGTACATTTAATATAGAATGTTCCCTAGAGAAAGAGAGATGAGGAGGGAGGGAGGGTGTGGGTGTGGGTGTGTGTGTGTGTGTGTGTGTGTGTGTGTGTGTGTGTGTGTGTGTTTTAAGAGCAGGAACAGTTTGAGAGCACAAATATTATAAAGAAAAGGCTTCTGTGGTATTCCTCCTAGACATTTCCCAGAACTGGACCTGAATATACAAGCAGAAGCTGGAAGAGGCTCAAACACTGCTAACCAACTGAGGTACAGAGGATCCTCAAGTTACGACCAGCCTGACATACAAACAACCGTCAATTTGGAATTAATTGTAAAAAAGACATGAAATATTTAAAATATTTCCCTTCTTTTGTACAGTGAACCTTCAAGTTACAACCAGCTTGACATATGAACAACTTGGGTTAATTAGGTTAGTGGAAAATTCATCTGCCTCTTGTTATCGATAGCATGTACCCAGGTAAACAACCAGGTCTCAGCTGTACTGACTTACAACCAGCTTGCGTTACAACCAGCCCTTGGGAACTGATCGAGTTTGTAAGTCAAGGGTCCACTTCACATGGGAGGATGGTTAACATCTCCCCAGGCCTTGATGAACTTTGTAGAATAACAATCATTAAGAATTGTGGATTTTAAATTAAATTACAAGGAATACTGGAGTTACCCCCAGCCTCTTTTTAACCATTTAATCTGTTTTATATACAAGTTCTATGACAGAAGAAGTGTGAAAAGCAGTGAAAGGGAATTTTGAAAATGATGCCTCCCAGGATGTCAAGAGAATAGCATGATAACCATGTATAAAATGCTTAGTAGTCATTTGCATACGATAAAACTCCATAGAGGTTGACAAGAATTATGAGGCTGATAAAGATTCCAGTCTTAAATACAGAGGTAATTGGGCTGGGGATTTAGCTCAGTGGCACAGTGCCTGCCTCACAAGCACAAGGTCCTGAGTCTGATCCCCAGTACTGCAGGGGGAAAAAAAAAATACAGAGGTAATTTACAGAATGTGAAGCACAGAAGTGACTGATTCAATGTATAGATACCGGGCTGGGGATTTAGCTCAGTGGTTCTGGCGCCTGCCTCGCAAGCACAAGGGCCCAAGTTTGATCCCCGGTCCCCCCGACCAAAAAAACCCCAATGTATAGATACTATGTGTCTAATATCTCAAGGGTTTTTTTTTTTGTACCAGCGATGGAACTCAGGACCTTGTGCTTGCAAGGCAGGTGGGGTGGCACCACTGAGCTAAATCCCAACCCTCAAGGTTTTAAAGGTGACCACCCTAATGGGCATTTGAATTAAAGAGCTTTAAAACTGAGAGGTCCACCCAACAACACCAGAGGAAGGCTTACCTCTTCTTCTTGGTGATAATGAGGACGTCATTAAACAGAAAAAAGTACACTTGCTGTTTGGATGTCCTCCTCGAGAAAAGCACAGTGTCTTCTACATAGGCTGTCAATTCACCTCTTTTCACCAACCACCGGGAGGAGGAGACTAAAGGAAAAGGCTGAACAAAAGAGAAAGAGAAAAACTCAGTCCCCAAAGCTAAAGTATTTCTAAGATTATAGAAAGAGAAATGTAAGAATTACATTTAAACACAATATATACTATGATATGCATTATTATTTTATAGCTGTGTAACAGCAGAATGTAATTACAGAAATATAGCAGATTCAAGAAAATTAAAGATAAAAACTTATTTCCTATATAAAAAACCATTAACTTGCTGGCATGAAACTAAAACTCAATGAGAAAATATTAGTGGGTCATAAAGTTCTGAACCTTTCATCAACTTTTTTTTTTTTTTGTTACAGGGATCGAACTTAGGACCTTGTGCTTGCCAGGCAGGCGTGACGCCACTGAGCTAAATTCCCTGCGATCAACTCTTAACTGACAAAGAAAACTGAAATCAAGTCATTCAAAGTTGAAAAGTAATGAAATGTAATGAAATGAAATCTATCGGTACCAATGGTTGCTATTTAAAATATTTCAAACCACAATATAAACATACAGAAATGCATAGGTAACTACAGTTACCAACAGATAAATGTACAAGTCTTCATTTACTTAATGAGCTAAGAAAGGCTTTTTCAAGGCCTTACATTTTGTCTTCCTATTCATATCCTTAGTCATATTTGTGGGAACACCTGTTTCCAGTTTATGATAATTTTCCTCATATAAGTCTGTCCCTGAAAGCATTATGCACTTTTTGGCAACGAAAATGAGGTTATTCTAAAATAATCCATCATAATCTCATAGGAAAGACTATATCCAAGAAATTACTTACTGTTTTTTCTTTATTCAGTTTTGTATTAAGCCAATTTAAAAACTCAAAACCACAGAATAATCCTTAACCTTGAGGTAAGCTTGTATTTCTTTTTTAGGGGGTGAGGGGAATTACCAGAAATGCTCACTGCCAATAGTTTGATTTTTTTTTTTTGGTACCGGGGATCGAACTCGGGCCCTTGCACTTGCGAGCCAGGCGGCAGAACCACTGAGCTAAATCCCCAGCCCAGTATCTATATATCGAATCAGTCACCTCTGTGTTTCACATTCTCTAAATTACCTCTGTATGTTTTTTTTCCCCCTGCAGTACTGGGGATCAAACTCAGGACTTTGTGCTTGTGAGGCAGGCGCAGTGCCACTGAGCTAAATCCCCGGCCCAATAGTCTGATTTTTTAAAAAAAATCTATATCCATCAACTAAACAAAAGTTCTTGGACACACAAAATATAAATGTAGTAATGTGGTAGAACCAAATGTCATCCTTTTCAGGGAATGATGATTACAAAGAGCTAAAGGAAATTGAAGATATTAGGGAGGAAATGAGAAAGTGAAGAAAAGATTTCAATTTTTTTTTTTTTTTGGTACCAGGGATTGAACTCGGGTCCTTGTGCTTGCGCAGCAGGCGGAGAAACCAATGAGCTAAATCCCCAGCCAAGATTTCAATTTTTTAAAAAATTTTATAAGTTGCTCATTAGTTGCATACTAATTCAAAAAGGAAAATGCAAGATTATTGCTAACTCCAAACTTTTCAAAACTGGTTATTAAGGATGTTCATGGAGGATCCTCCAGCCCTGCACCTTACTAGAGATATCTTAGGCAGAGAAAGTTTTATATTTAACATCTAATCTTATTTTTTCATTTAACAATAAATAAGAGAGTTTCCATATAGATACCTAAAACTCACCATCTTTTTTTTTTTAAAGTTGAGTAGTACTACAATCTTTTGGTACTATCCTGTAACCTTCCTCTATTACAAATACTACATGAATAATTGTGTGCGTTATTTTCTACATTGATGTGCACAGAATAATTTCTTAGAAGGAAAATCATTGGGTTGGGGTACTTCGCATTTGTAATTTTGATAGCAATTTCCAAATTGCCTTCCAGTGAGGTCTTCTCTGCAAGCAACATACAGAATTGCCTTGTCAATGTGTTGTATGATTTTACTAATAAGACGTGTTCTCAAATTTTTGTATCATTTATAAATCTAAAATGTGAAATTCATTATCTTAATTTCAATTAGTAATATTTTTCTGAGTGAAAAAGTATCTTTTCTAATATTTAATTGTCATTTGTATTTCTTTCTCTGTCGGTAGTTTTCTTTAACTTGCAACTTTCTAGGGGGTTTTTTCTTATCTTTTTCCTATTCAATTGTATAAAATGGAGATTTTAACTATCTTTATGTAAGTGGTAACCATTTCTATCCAGTTTGCTACTTGTCTTTTTACTTTTATGATCTTTTTTTCCTAGAGAGAAATTTTTTTAAATGTTCATATAGATAAAATTAACATTTTTCCTTTTGATGACTTCTGGATTTGAAATAAGTTGAAAAAGGCTTTCTCAAACTGGTAAAGTCATTTTCACTAAACACACACCTGATTTTGTCACTTTCCCACTTAGAAGTTTTCAATGGGTCCCAAATGATCTTATTCAGCTCCTCTACTTCACAAATGGAATATCCATAAGCTTCTGCTTACAGCTCCTTTTGCACCCCAAGTTTATCTGCACTAAATGCCTACAACTGTAGACTACAGCAGTGGAACGCACTTCCTCTACATGTGGTCCTGTTCTTTACTCCTAGAAGACCCTTCCTAACTCACTTCTCAAGGATCAGCTGAAAAATACATCTCTTATGAAGCCTTGCCTAGCTGCTCCAACTCTGAGAGCTGTCCACCTTCTTCCCATTTCCATTGTTCTCAAGGTCTTCCACCTATTGTAACAGCTGCGGACTTGGCTGACACCTTTGATTTTCAGCACTGATCTACTAGACTGTTAGCTCCATGAAAATAGGGATCATGTTGTTCTTCCACCACCTTCCACAAAGAAGATGCTCAGGAAACTTGTTTCAAGAATGCATATGCTTGGACAAATCACCTAATCTCTTTGAACTTCAATTTTGTCATCTTTAAAATGAATAAAGATGTCCATTGTTACCTATAAAGTGTCATAAGATCCTACAATTTCTAACTAGTACTAATGAGCATTTCTAAGTGGTGTGAATTAACCCCTCATGTTTTACGAGTCATGTTTCTTCATCTAAATCATTACAGGCAGGGTGTCACAGAAAGTGTTATATTGACCCACAAGTCAGGATGCCTAGATACTAGTTCTTATTGTACCATCACTATTCCAGTGACTCTCAATAATTATCCAGAGGTTAATTTTCCCCATTTATAAAATAAAAGGGCATAGTTGTACTATATCAATGGTCTGCAAATTCTACTCCCTGCACAGACTCTTCATTAAGTACTGCTGGTCACTATAATTACACCGCATAAGTCAGAAAGAACACTTTTACCAGGAAAATATATGATCAATCATTACAATTTGCGTAATTAAATTTGTGTTATAAGAGTTAGTACTCATAGAATCACAACTGTCAGCATTCATATCCATTAAGAACTCTGCTGTAGGGACGGGGATTTAGCTCAGTGGTTCTGCATCCTGCCTTGTAAGCACAAGGACCTGAGTTTGATCCCTGGTACCAAAAAAAAAAAAAAAAAGAAGAACTCTGCTGTGAACCAACAGAACTGGCTGAGAGCTAGATTTGCCATTAATTGTCAATATTTTCTTCTTTGTTCTCCTGTCATCTGGTGAGTAGCAAGCACTAACAGGCAGCACATACTCAAAAAACAGTCACAGGAGACAAACAAACTTAGAAAAACTGTCCATTAACAACTTTTCCTGCAAACAACAAAAAAAAGGTGTCATTTGATTTAGAACACTCTGATCCAGCTCATGGGATTTCATTGTTTTGTGAGATATTTTGATAATACTGGAGAAACACCCTCTTTTTAACACCAAAATTCCTCTACTGTATTTAAATTACCTTTCCCCAAGTTTGGGGTCTTCCTGTAAAAACATGTACTTCTTAGGTAATACCTGACTTCACAGCATGGAAAAAGATCACTCTGTCTGGCAGAAGAAAGAGCAGAATTTCCCGAGGCATCTGCAACTCCTCTGCTGGATCTCACTCAATTCATGGCCCTTTTTTGAAAAGTAAATTTCTATTCACTTTGTTGTCCTCAACTGTCCTCCTTCATTTGGATAAGATGCAAAAGCAGTAGTCAATAGAAGTACAATGATACCTTAATTTTAAATTCCAGCTGGGAGTTAATTGTATACATCATCTCGGTCCTTTCCATCTTTCGGGCTCCTTCATTACATAGGCGAACCAACTGGAAACACAGAGAAAGAGGGTTAAGAGGTCCAGGAGAGAAACCTCACTTTCAAATGCGGATCTCTCACGGGGAAATAATTAAACACTTGGGAAGCGCCAGGACTTACTTCTGATAGTTACAGATCTCAGTTTTTCTACAGTTACACCACACCACCCAGGTAGAACTCCTGTGGTCATGATGTAGATAGGAGGAGAAAAATGTCCTGAACACTTAGAAACACAAGCCCCCTTTGTACTCTCCCCATACTCTGCCCTCCTCATGCAGGCATTCATCTCACACCTCTGGTCTCTAACCTTTCGGGTCCTTCCTGGCCCCTCTTCCTCCTCTTTATAGTTGGGAACCCCACCCAACCCCAAGGCAAGTTGCATCCTTCTTCCACTTCCAAATCAGAGCAGCAGGAGGCAGACCACCAACTTCAAAGCCAAATCCAGGCCCAGCGCTGCGTGCAAAGCTTGCAGCCAGGAAAGGGTTGAGGGAAGCCTTCAGGGGAATGGGATGGTCAGTGATTCCTCAAGGATGGGCAGACTATGCGAAATTGTTGAACTGGAACCACTGAATTCTGAATTATTTCAAAGGAAACACATCAATAGTCCTTTCATGAATACCTAACATCTACTTGGTTTACCAGTCTAGAGCAAAACAAACTATATTGCCAATTTTTTATTATCTGGAAAAAAGGTCCTTACATGAGTCACTGGCCATAAAGACAAATGTGATTGTTAAAATAATGGCTGGAAATTTTATCTTTAAGAGTCATGCTTGGGCTGGAGATTTAGTTCAGGGGTTCCGGCGTCTGCCTTGCAAGTGCAAGTTCCTGAGTTTTGATCCCAGTATCAAAAAAAAAAAAGTCATGCTTTACTAAGTAAATAATACATGCTCTGTGTAAAAAGTAAATAAATAAAATAACGATGATAACACAGAGACAGATTTTTTTAAAGGCCACAAAAATCTTGATCTATTCCTATTACTTAGCAGTAACTGGAAACAAGTTGAGTTCTAGACTTTATCTTTTTCCCTCATCTTATGTGAATGTACAAATACACATATATATTTGTAGAAATTTTTATTTTATGTTTGGGCCGGTCTATGCTTGTCTGTGACTTTTTTTCACTAACCAATTGCTATGGATTGAATGTATATGTTACACAAATTTATAAGCGAAATCCTAAACCTCAATATGCTGGCATTAGCAGGTAAGGCCTTTGGGAGGGCATTAAGTAAGGAAAGTTGCTCCCTCGTGAATGACAATAGCACCCTCATAAAAACTGATGGTTCCTCTCTCTGCTCTCTCTCCAACACTTGAGGGTATCATGAGAAAGCAGGCATCTAAAGGTTGGGAAACTGGCCTTCAGCCAACAACAGATCTGCCCATACCTCGATCTTAGACCTCCAAGCTCCAGAAATTGAGAAATAAATATCTGCTTTTTAAACCACCAGTCTATGGGGTTATGTAATTAGAGTCAGAACTAATATAGAAGTATTTCTCTTATTGAAAATAGAATAATTTATTTAGTGCCTGCTATGTTTCAGGTGTTAGAGTTTCAACACAACAAAAAGACACACAATCCCTAACTTTATGGAGGGACAGATAAGAGGCATACACAAAAAGTCATACTCCGAGATCATAAAAGAATAAACAAGAAAGCGGTGAAGCCTGAACTAGGGGTCATTTACACTGAAAGCTGAGAGAGAAGTGAAGGTTGGCTATGAGTAATAAAGTGGTTCAGGCAGAGAGCACAGCATGAGCAAAGGAACAGATGGCAAAATGTGTGTACTTAGCAAATGAAAGTAAATCTGGACATACAGGAAGGTGGCACAGGATGAAGGTGGCAAAGAGAGGCCATCAACAGGCTCTCAGGAGAGGGGTGATACAATCCAGTTTACTCATTTCATTATAGAGACTTCCACAGCATAGTTATTCGATTCCCTGTTGTGGACACTTAACACAATTTCAAACTGATCACTTGACAGCTTCATTTAGGGGATGACACCTATCTTCAGTTACAGTTTATCTCTGGCTTTGAGTGGCCTGAGTTCACAGATACAGGAACTGATTGATGGCTGTAGCTGATCAAGGCTAAGAGTTAAAATATGCTGGCTGGGGTCAGGGGTAACCTGAAATTGGAATATCCTGAAAGGAACAGGGCATGTCAGGGAGCAATCCAAGCACTGCATTAGGCAGCTGCTGATCAAAACATATTTTTATGATTTTTCTTGTTGTATATATTCAGAGTTCCCAAATCTGTGTTCCTCGACTTGGTCTGTCTCCTTGCCTCTAAGTCTAACCAACTAGATGATATCTCTATTTGGATGTCCCACAGCTGTCTTAAATTCAGCATGGCCAAACTTGAGCATCACTTTTATCACTCTTTTACCCCTCAGCTGTATATTCTCTACCTCAGCATCTTCTTCCTCCTTTTCCTCCTCCCCAAGCCAAAAGCCTGGTCTACTCCACTCAGACCTCTTCTTTTGCTCTGCTCCCCTGCCCATGCACCCAAACAACCTTGAAGGTACTTCTGTGCTCTGCCCTGCTCCCTGAACTCTGGCTCAGATGCCCTCTTTGCCTACATTTTTGGCCTCCTGATTCTCTCCATTACTTCCAACCTGTGCATACTCCAAAATCATGATGTCCATCTTTCTAATTTCATATCTGGTCAGAAAACTCCTTAGTTCAAAATCCTTAAGAGGCTCCCAGAAGTTTTCAGAATCAGGTCTTAGCAAGACCCTTCACGACAGGTGCTCACGTCACTGACCTCCAATGTCCCATTGCTCCATCATGGGCCTCAGCCTTCCCTAACATGTGGCTCTATCCTGCCTTGGCACTTTTGCACGTGTGTTTCCCCCTGTCTGAATACCCTCTGACCCACACTGTCCAACTGAGTCCTTACCTACATTTATATCACCCACTTAACTTTAAGGGCTCAACTTGGACTTTTAACTTTCCTAGAAGACTGGAGAGCAGAAACTACAAAACTGCCATATGCACAGCACTAGCCTAAACCACAATTGAGACATTCTCAAATATTCCTGCATCAATAAAGGCAGTGTATAAGTCACTTATAAAAGTAAAGGACAATTCTTTTATAGTTATCTCTTTTAAAAAATAAAAGTGAAAAATGAAATTATGAAGGTTGAATTATCATCTTATTCCTTAAACTTCCAAAAACCAAATCCATCAGTGAAAGCTGGAGTCATGCCACCACTGAGCAAATCTTGAAGAAACCAAAGATGTCTCAGAGGACATGTTAAAAACACCACAATCCCTCAAATAGCTTAAGCATTGATACCATCAATGGCATCAGTTGTGATGCCTATTTTTTTGTTGTTGTTGTTTCCTTTGGTACCAGGGATTGAACTCAGGACCTTGCACTTGCAAGGCAGGCCCCAGAACCACTGAGCTAAATCCCCGGCCCTGTGATGCCTATCTTGAAGGGACAAACACTAATTTTGGCATGTGTGCTCTACTGTTTTTATTAAAATCTGCCCTAGTATATTAAAGCCAGACCTTTCTTCAGCATCTGCCAAAACTTTATTAAATTTAGTTCATTCAATTTTTTTTTTTAGGCCTAATATACATAAAAAGCTCAGTGCCACTAGTAAAGAAATATAAATTAAAACAAAAAACTAATCATTCAAATTCACAAGGCTATTTGGTGTACAGTAAAGCAGGACACAAACATTCATATACTTGTGGTCATAGGCATGGAGCAACCTTTCCAGAAGGTACTTTAGCACCTGAAACAAGGGCTTTAAAACATTCTTATATTTTTCTTCCCATAAACCCAATTCTAGAAATTCTTTAAAAATAATCAGATAAGCACAATCATAAACATAAGACAATGTTCAATGCAGCACTATTTAAAACTGCAAGTGCACTGTGTAGCATGGGATCCCATTCTTAGGTGTACATTTATTCCTATCTGCTAATACTGAAATACAAACTCAATAGAAGGATCTACATTAGAACAAATAGTCATATCTGAGTGATACAATCAATTACTGATACATTTTATTTCTACTTTTTTATTTTTATTTTTTAATTTTATTTCTACTTATTTAAATTTTATGTAATATATGTTTATTACTTTATTCACTTTCAAAACATATCTGCCTAAACTCTAAATACATGCTTACAGAGCATGAAAAATAAAAGCTTTATTACTTCCTATTTCTACACTACTCTCACTTCATCATAGCTATTGTTGAAAGACTGATAGTATGATAACTAGCATTATTTCTTTATATTAATAACAAGTACAGGTTAAATGTTTATTAATCATCAAGCGTCATTACACTATTGGTATTTGTATTAGCTTTCTCACTCCTGAGATACAATACCCAGACCCCAATTTAAAGCAGGAGACATTTATTTTGGCTCACAGTTTTCAGAGAATTCAGTCCATGGCTGGCTGGATTCAAGGCAGAAATGGCATGGCAGAATGGCTGAGTGGAGGAAACATGCTCACTTCGAGGCAGCAAGGAAGCAGAGAGACAAAGGAAGAGCCAAGGACAAGAATACATCCTTCTAGGTCATGCTCCCAGTGACTCACCTCCAAGCAGGCACAGCTTCCTAACATCACATTCAGTCATGAACTCATCAATGGATTAATCCACTGATAAGTACAGCACCCCAAAATTACAGCCCAAAGGCCTCATTTCTGAACACAAGACTTTCAGAGGACATTCTAGATTTAAACCATCACCATATTGTTCTGCATTTTAATTTTATTAACTGAACAACATAGCTTAGATGTCTTTCAGTGTTGATACCTGTCTATCATTTTGTTAATGACTGAAGGGATGTAGCAGAAGAAGATTAAAAACATCCTGCCTAGATACTCTACTCTAGGAGAAAAGCTTACGAGATTATTCCAGTTATAAGAATTTTGATAAGGTGAGAATTATAGCAGGTACTTTTTCCATGAGAGAGAAACACAAGAAAACAGTAGAAAAGATGTAATTTCCCACCAAAAACGATCTCTTGATCACTACCTCTTACTCAGCAGACCATTACGGCATGTTGAACTATTAGAATTCTTAGAACCTTCCCTCAAGCTCCCAGTATGTTAACAGAAAGCCAGAGATTAAAGACATTTTTCATTTAACAGAAACATCTTTCTTGTTTTTGAGTTGTTTCATTACACCGGTAACTCTTTCTAACACCCTAAATTCAGTAAACTGTCAAAATCAGTCTTAGCAACATGTATGAGCAATTCCATGTATTATTTATGCTATGCAATTACTCTAAATTGTATTAGCATTTTAATTACCAAAAAGGTATCACCTATTTTTTCCCTAAGAATGAGTAATTACCTATAGAGACTAACAAGATTTAGGTAGACTCTGGTTCTAAAACCTTGGGTCTCAACAACCCAAATTTAATTTGCTAAAACAAAATACTGGGAATTCTTCGATTTTGGGTAAAGCAAACAAAATTCTACATTTTAATTGTGAACCACAAATGCTCTATATATTCATTTCTCATTGAAAATGTTGACAGTTTATCCAGAATCTACTGAGCCCCATTCGTAACCTTCACAAATAAAAATTAATTTCTGAGTTGGCTATATTGATTTCAGTTCCCTTATAATAATAGGAGATGGTAGAGATATAGGAGATATAATTCTGATATTCAGACTCACATTTAAGAGAGCAAGAAACATTGCCCTTCATATAAAGCCAGTCACTGGGACTCAGTAGTAACGAAGCAAAATTCATCAAACTCTGTTATGTCTGAGATTTAGAACTTCCGTAAAGCTTCTCCTAAAGACCCTCCTGGGTACCCATTTTTTCTAGGGACACAGCAAGGATTTGATGTCATGAAGGAGAAACCCAGTAGCAGTAGGACCTTCGGTAACCTCACATTTGTCAGGCTAAATTTCTTCCCTTGTGTTCCTAAAGTGGGTATGCAGACCACAGATGGAATAAGAGATTAATTTAAGTGGCCTATGACATACTTTTTTTTAATACAAAAATGTGTGGAAGAAGAATAAACAACTAGCTCAAAATACTCACGGTTTCATAATCATTATTGGGAAAGATCACTAAAACAATGGGTCCACTTAGAGCTGATTAAAAGAAACTCATAGTAAAGTGGTACAAAGGTACCCCATTCATATAAGGGGTAAGTGACCAGAGATTTTTAGGAAGCTTCTGGTGGTGTCTTTGCTTTTTGGTGTGTAGCTCATACAGTACTCTTAGCACCTTTTATTGTTTCCTCTCAGTGACATCTTCCCAATGGTAACTAAGCATACTCACATCTTTAAATTCATTAAACAAATAAAGACCCTCTTCATTTCCCTTTTTAGCTACAGTCTCTTTCTCTTTCCACTCCCAGCCTGATGCCTGAAACAGCCAACTGTTTTGCTGGCAGGCTGCATATTCACACCACCCACTCATTCCTCAACACACTCCAACCTGGCTTCTACACCCACTCAAAGATACAACCTATCAGATGATAAACCCAAAGAACTCTTCAATCCTTACCTCACTTTATCTTTCAGGAGCATTCAACAGTGATAACCATCAGATTGTCTTCATTTGCCAGGTTATTATGGTTTTCCTCCTTTTTCTCTGGCATGTCTTTTGTTTTGTTTTGAAGTGTTCTCTGCTGGCTTATGCCATATTGGTGTTCCCCAAGTTCTGTCTCACACCCATTACTCTTCTCACTCTGTACCTTCTCTAGGAAATTGCATCCACTCTCCCAACTTCAATTATTGCCCATATGCTGATGATTCCCAAATTCATATCTCCAATTCAGGTCTCTTCTCTGAGCTCCAGATTTGTTTATCAAGCCAAACTGCATGTTTTATAGGATCTTAATTGTAGCATGTCCAAAATGGAACTCATCAGCAACTCTCTCTGTTCCTACTAGAGATAAGTAAGACCCAGTTGCCCAAGCCAGAGACTTTATTCCTTAACTTCTGTCCCTAAGTGTGCTAACTCAATCAATCTCCAAGCCTATCTACCTAACATATAGGTCTATCTCTCAAGGCCCCTCATGTCTGGCCTGATCGACTATAACTGGCTCTGTAATTGCATTCATAGCTGGACCCATCTCCACTGCCATCTTCATAACACATGAATTTATAGCTTCCACGTCATCTGAGGATACAGTCCTCAACTTCCTATAATATGTAACAGGGCCCCACAAAACTGGCTCTTCAGTACTGTCTCTCTTAGACTAGCCTCTTCAAATTCTCCAACACTTTCCTACTTTTGGGGTCTACACATTGCTAAGACATTCTTTTCCAGTTCTTGGCTCACAGCTGCTCTTGCTGTGGGTCTCACGTTAAACACCATTTTGTACTTCCTTATCATGTCACTCATCATGCTTTACTATAATTCTGTTTAATGTCTGCCTTCCTCTTTACACTGCACATACCACGAGTGCAGTTACCACACCTGTCTGATTCATCACCGTATTTTCAGGGGCTGACACTGTGTCTGGCACAGTAGCTGATACTCAGTAAATATTTATTCAGAAGAGAATGACTAAACCATTCATACGCCAAAAGAAAATAAAATATCTATAGGTCTTTAACACAAGACAGTTTGAAAGAATAAAAATACCCATTTCATTTGCACAAGTATTGTTCTGCTTTTCAACACCCCAAGAATGCCCTGCATTTAAATGACTCAGAACTTAGCATTCATCTGCAACAAACCAGGACACACTCTTCTCCAGGGTTTCTGCATGGTTTACTTTCTCATGAGCTGTTCAACAGTTACCTTGCTTACTTCCTTTAAGGCCCTTTTGCAGACTTCATACTTTGGAGAATCCTTAGGTGTTTTTTGACAGATAGTCTATAATGAAGTAAAAACAAACAAATTCAATTGATTGAGCTAAAACAGAGCAAAACCAATGTTCATCTATTTCCCTTTACTCTCAGAAAACTTAACAATGCTGAAAACAAAATTATACATGAGAATGAAGTAAGACTTCAGAGTGAAGTCAGCCTGTTTTCAAATTCCAGATCTGTCTTATACTAGTTATCTAACCTTGGGAAAGTCACTGGCCCCATATAAGCCTCAGTTTTCTCACCTGTAAAACTGTGATAACACCAACTATATTAAAAGGTTGTTCCAAGGACTAACTGATAATTCATATAAAGTAAGAGTTACTTAAGTGGCTAAATCATGTCAAAGAAGGTCAATTCAGGATAAACCGAATCACAGAGTAAGCATGCCTAATCTGAAACTGAAATCCTAAATGCTCCAAAAAACCTTTTTGAGTGTGACACCACAATTGAAAAATTCCACTCCATGAAACTTTGTTTCATTCATAAAATTATTTAAAATATTGCATAAATTACTTTCAGAATAATAGATATATTATAGGGATAGGATAGAGATAGATAGATACATAGGTAGATGTTAGATAGAAATATAAATGGACTTCAGGTTTAGACTTGGGCCCCGATTCCATATTTCATTACGCACATGCAAATATTTCACAGTGAAAAATTAACCCACATGTTTTTGGTTAAGGGATACTGGAGTAGTTCATATAACTTTGAAACTAAACACATTCAAACCCCCAGATACATTTTAATGGCTAAAAATGTTCATCTCAATTAGTAAGTTTAACTAAATTTCCAAATGAGGTAAAATTAAAGAGAAAATATTTTAAGTACATTTAGATTTTGCCTGGGTGGCCAGATCCTGACATGAAAAATGGGCAGCACCTATAAGTACAAGGTGATTGGAAATTAGCAAGCCACTAGGTACCTTATATATGAATGAGTACCAGGCCTATAAATCTGAAAGTTGGCCATCAGAATTGTTATATATGAGAAGCGTAGAGTGCACCATATGTGGATTTATATTAGTGGTTCTCATAATTATTTTTACTAGGAAATATATATATATATATGTATATATATATATTGCAAACAGTATACATGGACACATAAATTAAACAATGTTTTTATGAAACAATATTTAACCATACTGTGAGCTACATACTTATCATCTACCTCATATTCTATTCCATTTTATTTTTTTATAAACTCCACTCACGATTTAAAAATCAATTTCATGACCTACTAATGGATATAAAAGCAGACTGAAATATCCTGGATTATGCCCTCAACAACAGGCATAATTACTTGGAGTCCATATGCTAAAATTTTGTACCTATATGAATTTTCTGGGGAAAAAGACTACAGCTTTACTTGGAATGTCAAAGGAGTCTATGACTCAAAAAGCTGAGAGGTCTTGGAAAATCATGGCATAAATAGCCAACACCACACAACATGTTGTGTTAGATTTTAGTCTTGTTCTGTTCAAATAATTATCTCAAAATTTGGTTTTGCTGGCCTAGCTGTGTTCTATTCTCAGACACAATAAATGCTGAGGTAAAAAAAATCAATTAAATTTCCTAAACTTCAAGTTTCTCACTTTAGTCATGTGCTGCACATTGATGTTTGAGTCCATTATGGGCCACATATAAGACGGTGGTCCTAGAAGATCATATCACCTGGAGATAGATGCTGCAGCTGTTTTACTCAGTGTAAAGCCACTTCACGGTGTTTGCACAACAAAATTACCTAACCTGGCACTTCTCAGGCTGTATCCCCATCATTAAGACCTCGTGACTGTGTTTGTGCAGGAGATAACTTCCCACATGTCATCCACAGGTGATGGGTGACAAGGAGGGGTGTAAACAGAGTACAGTAAGGTGAACTTGGAGAAGAACAAGTGCTGTGAATTCTGAAACAACCAACAAAGCCTCCACAAAACTGCAGCAGTGTCAACAAAGTGACCACGATCACATGTCTGATGCATTTCAAACTGTCACTGTTGTTTAGAATGTCTTAGAATTTAAGACAGACTACAGAGAATGGAATTTTCTTTGTAAATTTACTTTTCTAAAAATCCTGTGTTTTGATTTATAAAAGCTGATACTATGTCAACATGATGACTCAATGTTAAAGTAGATGTGTGACAATCTCTTCTAATCAGATCAAAAGACACTATTTGGCACACTACCTGGGTGGGACCTGTATGAGTCCCCACTCCCCTTTCACTGGCCCCCACTCCATCATCCTCTGCAGGTCAGCACAAGCAGTGTGAGGCCCTCTGCTCCCAGCTTCCACATCTTCCAGCTGCACTTTCTGCCAGGTAGTCTCTGCTAACTCCCCCAGCACTCCCTGCTATTATCCAGTCAAAACTGTTTTCTTCATAAATGTTTCCTAACAAAAAGGATGCTGGGCTTTCCAAATCCACTCTTCTCAACACACAGCAGGAGCAAGTTTACGCTTTGTAATGCTGAAGAGTCTCATTCCCACGTGAAATGGAAGCCCCAGAGCATCTTGGGACATACCATAGATCAGGGATCTTGGTAACCAACCTGAGGAAACTGAGGCCCAAACAGAGTAAATGACCTGCTCAAGGTCTATGTTTAGTGGCTCTGCAAGAAATGGAATCCAGCCTCCTGGCTTCAAAAAGCCAATATTCTTCCCATTTTTAAAATATTGAGTAAGTGGGTAATGTGACCAAATTTCACCAAAGCGAATGCACAAAGTTAAAGATAAATTCCAGAGATTTCAAATATAGGTATGATTTTTCAACTAAACAATACCTTCTTACTTAATTAGTTAATTTTATAGATGGTATATGGACCAATTTCAGTGGATTATGATAATTTGCTTAATCAAATATATAGCAGCAGAGTTATTCACAAGGAAAAGACCACCAGAGCATGTCTTACATCCATCAGCAGGGGAAGGCGGGTCACTCTCTGCATGGGGAGAATGAGAAAAGAGATCATGGGTAGGTTCCTACAGTCTTCATGAGACTCGATCCGAGACAATACTTCCTTAAAGGAGGGATTGGTGGCTCTGAAGGAAAATTTAGAAAAACAAAAAGAAACTTAGAGATATTTCCTTCTCAAGCAAAGCAGCAAGTAAAAATACATTACAAAAAATGTGTTAAATTCATGTTATGAATGATTTTAAATATAGGTAAACAACATAAACACATTATTACATAGGCAATCATATATGACAAGGCTGAATATAAGAAGTGGAGTCACATAACAAAAGATAAAAATGTCTGTGACAGAACTCTAGACATGGAATGTAAGCAAATGAAGAGGTCCCAGTATCATAACAGTGGACATGCCAAATATAAATTGCTATGCAGACTAGATTTCATATCTGATCATCTGTAAATACAGTCCACTAATACAATAACAAGTAATATGGTTGAAGCCACTCCTCCAGCCCTAGACAATGATCTAAGAAAGACATATTGGTTAGACTGGGCCTATTATTAGGAAGCTTTTTACCTTTTTCAAAGGTCCTCTTTTTGATACAATTGTCATCTGACTACATAAGCCAAAATACTTCTTTTCCTCTCCACCGAGTAATATGAGTAGTGATACTGCCACAACATTTTTATAAAACTCAGCAAATTATTCCCACACATATTATCTCACATGGAATCACACATATGTTTAAGAAAGGCAATGTGAGGACTCTAATAAAAGAATGAAACTTAGAAAAGTCCCTAGCTTGTCACATAACACACACTTAGCAGCTAGCAGAGACAGAAGTCAAGTAGAGTCTTCTGACTCTGAACCCAGGGTTCTGATAAATATACCTCATCTCCCTTAGCTCATGCTACCTCACTGTGACAGGGCCCATTGTCACCTTTCATGATGAAGGAGCAGGAGGGGTCACCACTAGGCTTTGTGTTCCCATGCTCCAGAAAAAAGAACCAGAAAGCAACATGGTGGCAATAATGATTGAAAATAAAATTGGAAAATTTAGTCATTTGGTTCATGGCCACTAGAAATAAATTGGGAAAGACCAGACTAGCAAATTAAAACAAATCACACAGAAGTGGTTTTCATTTTCTCAAAGTGAGACGTTTCCTTTCCCTGACAGCTTTGAAAAGATTTTGAAGAAGTTAGAAAACAAACTCCACATTTGTTGCATATTTAAACCACTCATGTCCCAGGTCCCTTCCTTCATCCCCAAAGGTTCTGATCAAATAGCCTGAGATAAACTGAGTATTGTTTATTTGCTCTGTTTCAAGGATTCCCTGGTGTTTCTAATGCGCCTCTGAATTTGAAAGTCACTGCTTCAACCTCCAATGCACACTAACTGCAACAGTCTCTGGAAACATTACTAATTTCCTTGTGAAAGCTGCAAGATGATATCATTCAAGTAATTTAGATAACACCTTTATTTTTGAGAGTCACATAATGTATAGTAGTAACTATTCACATTTTTTAAATCCTACAAAACAAAATGATTCCAAAGTTAGCTCTAATTCAAGGCTTCATTTTCAAACTTGACCTGGCATTCACTAAGAGTTACAGAACGACCTCTGTCCCTACATCAGCACCTCCCAGCAGGTGTGGGGTTAGGGGAAGTGAATGGTGTGATTTTGCCCCCCAGGGGACATTCCACAATATCTAGAGACATTTTTGGCACCTAGTGGGTAGAGGCCAAGGATGCTGTTAAATATCCTACAATGCACAGGACAGCCCACCACAACAAAGACTTAGCCAGCCTGAAATGTTAATAGTGCAGACAGGACCGGGATTTAGCTCAGTGGTTCTGCCGCCTGCCTGGCAAGTGCAAGGACCCCAGTTTGATCCCTGGTACCAAAAAAAAATAGTGCAGACAAACCCTCCTTTACACTAAAAACTTCATTTGAAGCTGGTAGATATGGTTTTTCCACCCTGCACATATGAGCATTTCATGATGATGCGGAGGAGAGAGGGAGACAATCACAACGTGGGGACCTTGACTATTTCTCCAAGCAGCCAACAGGCAATCATCACCAACCCATTACCCACCATCTCCAAGGAGAACTCACACACTGCAGAGCTGACCAGAGCTCCGTGCTGCAGTCATAAATGCCACCACTCACAGGAGGGGTGAGAATGACAACAGGCAGGAAGCCCCCGAGCTGGTTTTACCACAGCAATTTACAACTGCAATGTAAAAAGCTACCTGTGATAAACAGGGTCCCTAAAAACAAGACAGAATAGACACAGACACGCCTGAACAATCTGACTCTTATGGAGCTGGCATATATCTCACATCACAAGACTCCAAAGGACCAAAAGAAAAGGTGTGTGTGTGGGGGGGGGTTAACCCTGGGTTCTTTTTTGCCACATAATTAAAATCTTCAATAGTATCTTTTTCTATTCCTTTTCATAAGACCCCTCTTTCACCTTCTCAGCCCTAACTACCCAGGATGTGGAAGCGTGGGAATCAGCAATTTCTATGAACAACTTACTGTAGTTGTCAACAGCAAGGAGAAAGATTACAAGGGTCTGGAAAACCCTGAGTGCTAGCTTCTGGCTCCACCTACTTAAGAATCCACTCAAGGCCTCAGGCAAACCACTTAATTGCCAGTACTAGTTTAGAAAACTGGGAAGTTGAACTAAGATCACCCCTGTGCCTAGGGTCAATTAAAACAAAACCAAGGACAAAGGCAACAACCAACTATGATTTCGTAAGTACTTTAGAGAGAAAACTCCACAGACGAGATATTTCCACTCAAATATCCTCAACCCTAAAAGTAACCCTCTGAAACATTTCTCCCCTGGGAATTAGCTCTTCAGGAAGCCCTTGCAAATATAATTTATGTGATCCGTTAATTTCAACCATGACCTCTAATTAAAACTAGATTTGACTATTGGTAGCATTCAACATTGCTTACAACAATTTCTGTAGTGTTCGTTGTTGGTAGACTTCATTTGTGCAGTATTTCACATAGGGATCAAATGTGGATGCTGTGTGTTTTTCTACAATGTCACTTATATCTTCTATGAAGATATTATTCTGATGCCTTGCTTCCAACTCTGTAAAGAATCTGAGAAAACAAAAAAAATAGCATTTATACTTCTTCCATGTATTTTATTTTATTATTATTATTTTTTTTTGGTACTAGGGATTGAACTCGGGACCTTGCGCCTGGGAGGCAGGTGGTGGAACCACTGAGCTAAATCCCCAGCCCAATTCCATGTATTTTAATAGACAAGACTATCCTCATCCAATGTTAGTACAGTATACAAGGTTTAAAAATATCAACAGTTCACAATATTGATCCAAAAGGAGCCCCAAAAGCCTATACAAATCTTGTTTAAATGTAAAATTTTCATACACCTTATAGCTTCAAGTGTTGGTTTATAACACTGATAATCATAAACATTTCTCTGCCTTTGGGTTCATTTTAGAATACACAGATTTCCCTATTTTTTTCCCAACAATTCCCTAGATATGGGGGTTCATGGGTATACTGTATATTTTATTGTATTGACAAGCACATGAGAAAACACCTAAAATGAATGCCTACATATAAACCCAATTCTGTGTGTCCTTTCTCTCAAAATAAAAACATATTATTTTAAATCTATTAATATGCATGGTATTTAAATATCTTCATAATTTACATGACAATTTAGGGTTACCAGATTTAGTGTACATAGACAGCAATGTAGAGCATGTGTGTGTACATATCAACACACACATTACACACACACACACACACAAAACCATTGCTTATCCATTCACTTGCTGATGAAAAGGGTCAGTTTCTACATTCTGTCTGGTATGAATAATGCTGCTATAAACATTCCCATATAACTATCTGTTTGAATCTGTTCTCAAATCTTTGGGGTTTAATACTAGAAATGAAATATTAACTGCACTAATTTAGTATATGTGCTGCTGAAGCGAGCACTAACTGCACTAATTTAGTGTAAATAATAGTATATACATCAAGATGTGCCAGTGTAATACCAGGAACCAATACAGAAGAAGCTGTGTCATACGGCAAAAGGAAGATAGGTCACTAAATGAAAACTGAGTAAGAAATAATCCTTTCCCTCTGGACACCTACAGTTGAATGGCAGATGGGAGGCATGGAGCCAAGTACAATCAAGTAAAATACTGGATCTGCAACAGAGGTAAAATTTATATGTGTTTAATAAAAACTGCCTTTTGTATGCTAACAGATGCTAATGTATCTGGAAGATGGAGACCCTGGGTAGCTTCAAGATGAGGGCTGGTCACCAGAAAGATCAAGCCATGATTACAAGGATAGGTTTTTCAATCCCTCCCTCCTGACTTCCAAAGAAGGAAGAAAGCTGAAGGTTGAGTTTAGTTGCCAAGGACTCATGATTTCATCACTCATATATAACGATACCTTCATCAAAAGCTCTAACCAATGGGCTTCAGAAAGGGTTGAAGACAGTGAGGTGCTGGGAACACAGCAAGCCCAGGTACCATTGAAGTTCTGCCCCCATATCTTTGCCTGTGCATTTTTTCATATGTTTGTTCCTGAGCTGTTTCCTTTACAATAATCCAGTAATAGAAAGAAAAATGTCTTTCTGTGTTCTGTGAGCTGTTTTAGCAAATCAGCAGTTAGGACGTAGATCGGGGGACTTCTTAACTTTATAGCTAATTAGGACAGACATGGGTAATCTGAGTACCAATAATTGCAACTGGCTTCTGAAGTGAAGGCAGTGTTTGGGCCTGAACTCTTCAACCTATGCTGTCTTCACTGTCCTGCAGTACAGGACACCCAATTGGTGCCCAGAGAGTTGGAGGGTTGGTTGGTGTGAGAAGAAAACCCCATTCATTTGGTGTCAAAAATGTGTTGAGTGGGCCAGGGATTTAGCTCAGTGGTTCCACTGCCTGCCTCGAAAGTGCAAGGTCCCGAGTTCAATCCCAAGTATGAAAAAAAAAAAAAAAATGTGTTGAGTGAAAACAGCCTAAGAGGTGTATCATGAAGACTCCAGTGAGCAGAGTGACTGTGAGGGGACCTATGAGCTGGACCATAGGTCATCAGCCACAAGGATCATGTGATGGGAGCAGAGGAACAGATGACAGTGGGCAGAAGGGGTCGAGTGGCACTGGCAGGATCTGGTTTGGGAAATTAGTAGCTCGGGGAGGCAGAGGTGCAGACTATAGAGGAAATGGGACAGAGAGAGAAGCCTGCAGGGCAGGTGAGAGCCAAGGTCAAAGGTTTTACTGTATGACAATGAGAAACTACAGGAGGTGTATGGAAGTCAGCAAATCATCAATCAGATGGAGAAAACTAAGCCAAAACAGATGGTAAACTGGCCAGTCCTATGGCTAATCTGGGCACACAAGAATAAAGGCTGGCAGCAGGAAATCAAAAAGAGGACACCTATTAAGCAAAAATTTGAAAGTAAAATTAATAGAATGGAGAAATTCAGTAGATGGGAGGTCAAGGAAGATGCTGGGGTTTCTGGTCAAAGTTTCCACCTAAGCAACAGGTGGGTCATTAAACCATTAATGAAGACAGGGATTTAGGGAAGGGAGGAGAAACAAGGAGGAAGCAGTTTCATTTTGCCTGGGAGTTGTCTAGTGGACAACTGAAAATACACATCTGTGAAAATTCAGAGGCACTCGAATTCTAAGTACCATATAATCAGGACTAGTCTATTGTTAGTTAGTTTTCAAATAACTGCAAAATGTTTACCATTTATTTTATCCCGATTGGTTTTTTAATGCAAATTTTAAGGAAATATTTAAAGAAAACTGAAAAAAGTAGAAACTATTCATAAGGTCTGTATCATGTAACTCAAGGAAATAAGCATCTTAGCAGCAAATGTGGTTCACAGTTTCTTGCCTTTAGCAAACTGTGAACAGTCTGAAGGAATGCAACTATATAAACAACAGTAACTTGGCTTTTCCCAATGAAAAGAAAAATTTCATTTATCACTGTAACAGGTTTGCTAAAGTAGTAGATTAAAACCAAGGTGGCAATGAAATATCTGTTTACACTACTTTAATATAATATAAACTAAGCCACCTATCTCTTAGCATAATTAAGATATATTTTAAAGCTTTCTATGTTAAACAATCTATTGGTTATTTTGGCAAATCTGCAAAATTATGCTAAGTGAGCTGAGCTACAAAAGACCAAGAAACTATTCCCGAAGAATGAAGTATTATATCAGAGACCAAGAAGTATGGTGATTCAAATAAAATATGAAGCAAAGCTGATATAGCATTCCTGGAATGAAACCTGAATGAGTTTATGAAATAATCTGGTTTATTTATTTATTTTGGTACTGGGGATCAAACTCGGGACCTTGCTCTTTTAAGGCAGGCGGCAGCACCACTGTGCTAAATCCCCGGCCCTAATCTGGTTTATTTAGAGGTCAACTTTTGGGGGTGAGGAGCAGAACTGTGAATTGAAATCAGGACCTCATGTGTACTAGAAAGACTGTCCTACTGAATTATATCTCCAGCCTTTTTTTCAAAAATTTTATTTTGAGAGAGTATCTTGCTAAGTTGCCCAGGTTGGCCTCAAACTTGTAATCCTTCTGTCTCAACCTCCAAGGAGCTGGAATTAGGTGTGTGCCACCAAGCCGAGCTGGAGGACAATCTTTTAATGGAAATATGTACTTTAGCTCTGTGAAAATTTTTTCTGGAACCATACCTTAGCTCTTTCCTCTTTGTAGTATTTCCAAGATGATATGTTTTACAACCAACCATGCTATACAACTTTTCTCTTTCCTATAAAAATTCTAACCTCTTCTCAAAAATCTAGATTTTGAGAGAGATCCTGTGGACCAGATAAGGTTGCCTATAAATACTCTCTCCTAAGTAGCACCCCCGCCTGCCCTGATGTTAGGTCAGCATCACCAGCACACTTACACCCATACTGCAAATAAGTGCACCTGCCCAGGTGAGCTCCTGAGCTACACATATAATTGTCAAACACCGAGTCCACACGGTCAGCCACTCAGGAGGGAGGATTTCAAGAGAATTCAGCTAAAGTTCCAGCTTGAAGAAAGAGCCTGATGTGGAGCTTGCTCATGGTCTGTAACCCACGCTTGACCGTTTCCTAGAACAGCAGAGATTATTTCTAGAACTTCAGGGTTTTTTCGGCTGCTTTAGATAGTCTTATATGTGCCCCTGCATTTTTGAGCAAAAAACAAAGTAACAATGAGGTAGCTGTTTCTGATACACTCAGTGCCTATGCTTTTGTTAGCTCATATCTGCCATTGTGTGGTAGGTAGAAAAGATGTGTCCACATGATGTGTTGATGGCCTGTGTCCCGTTATTGACGCACTTCTTAAAAACCATCTGGTAATGTAACTAGCAGGTCAGACATGAGCATTCCTGAGAGCTCTTGAAAATACTGTGCGGTAAGACTATCAATGTGTAAAGGAGATTAAAACATTTAACACAGACTCAAATAAATCTGTTTTTATTAGTCAACCTACAAAATGTCCTCTCATGTGTCTAGCATAGGGCAGCAGGCTTTGGTAAGATGCCAAGGACCAAACACTAGATAAACATGACCACCATCCACTGTGCCAGGTGCAGTCCACATGCTTCCTATACACTGCCTCATTTCCTTCACTCCTCAGGCTTTATAAGATGCTCATTATAGCCATTTTACAGATAAGAAAACTACAATCAAGAGAACCTGAGTCAATATTCTAAGCACCTGGCTTCACTGTGAACCCAGAACAGAGCTTTTCTGACACTGGAGCCTGTGGCTGGTAGTCCAACCACCACAGCTGCTGCCTCTGGTCTCAGGTCTGAGCTGATCTTGCTCACCTGTTACTATTTGCTGGCCCTCAACCTAGACATCTATTAGGAAGAACAGCTGGGACCGCACAGAAATATGTTACTTTCCAAGAGGGGCAATTGTTGTATGATCTCGGTAAAGAAGAAACACAGATCATCAACCTGGTAAAGACCTTCAGAGGAGATTTATGCCAAGGTAGCACGTGAGTACAACAGAAGAGTCAACAACCACAGGAAGTAAAGCCTCCGGGACAGATAATCAGGATGGCTGCAGGCAGCAATGTACTCTGGCCCCTT